GTTGAATGAATACAGTGAGTACCAGCTACACATTAAGTACTGAGTAATGGGGCCATCAAAGCTTGGTGGCCAGTTGTACAAAGCTTTGTGGTCAAATGGGGTGGGGTCACACGAAACAGACCAGGAAGTGGCCATTCCTGGGGGTGGGGTGGGAAGGAGTGATGCTGAGGTTTGAAGGAGTGACGTAAGAGAAATGTGTTCTTGGCCAAAGAGAGCCAGCCAGTGAAGGTGAGCATTCAGAAAGCCTGGGGCAGAGTAGATGGGGTGTGAGCCAGGTTGGGGGTGGGAGGAGGGGTAGGAACGGGAGGGGATTTTTTATGGGGAGAAGGAGCTGTGTGGGAGCCACTAGCAGAAGGGAAGGAAGCTGGCGGGGTGCAGCTGGGAAGAAGGAGAGGCCAGAGAGATAGGAGGAAGTGGAGAAGGGTGGAGGACAAGTGAGTGAAGATCCAGAGGACAATGGAAACACTTCAGCAGAAATGATTGAGGGGAGAAGGAAGAGGAGGCGAGGAAGGGGGAGGAAGAGAGGAGGGATGATGATAATGATGAAGAGGATGAAAATGAGGAGGATGAGAATGAGAAAAAGGAGGACGAGAAGGATGAGGATGATGAAGATGATGATGAGGAGGAGGAGAAGGAGGATGATGAAGATTAGGAGGAGGAGGAGAAGGAGGAGGAGGAAGATTAGGAGGAGGAGGAGGAGGATGATAACGATGAGGAAGCAGCTGCTGTGCTGGAAAGGTACAGCTTGAGGTCAGGGTCTGGACCAGTCTGCAGAGGGGCAACGTCAGCCCAGATGTCAGGTGATGAGGGATGCAGGCAGATGCAGGGATTAGGGAGCGAGGCTCAGCAGGCTGAGCTCCAAGGGTTGGGCATCCTATTCTTCTGACCCTCTGGCCAAAGATACTCCCTTTGTTCCATTCTGATGGATGCTTAGCCAGTGTCCTGGGCGTGAGCAGGATGAGAAGTGGGGTTCTGATGTAGAATGCCCCCCAACTTGCCTCACATATGTATAGGCTAGACCTGAAGTCAGTTCTCTCACTCAAGAGTCCTGTTAGTGTGTAAATATCCTCCTTCACACAACTTGGAAGCCTTACTGGCCTTGGCTTCTCTTTCTGCTTATAGGTGGGAAGGACACACCCAGTAGGCGATGCTTAGGTGTCTTCCAGATGTAGAGCCCACGAGCTACTCCAGTCTAAACTCCCACTAGTGTCTCAAGGATGACACTGGCCTGCTTCCTTGGCCTTGGCCTCTGCTGGACGAGGGTCTTTCTCTCTTTCTGTCTCTGTTGCCTCTATCCATCTCTGTCTCGAATCTCTCTGTCTCCGACTCTGTCCCTCTCTCATCATGAAATCATAGCACTTCATGACCCTTCTTTCAAGGACCCTCAGCCTTCCTGGGCTTCCATCCTCGGCTCTGTCTCCCTGCTACCCATTCTCCGACTCCTCCAGGTTTCTGCCTTGTGAAAGCCCATTCTTGCCCTTCCCAAGGGGCCCCCTTTTCCCTCCTAGAAGGACACCACAGTCAGGCATTCCTCCGCACCGTCTGGCTTTCCTCACCATGGTGGCTCTGTTTTCCTTGATGTGAGAGAGCTGCAGAGGTGGAGCTTCTGTCTGTGTAGTCTCCCCTTTCCAGTCAGCACATGTTCAGGGGCTACCTGACAGGACATATCAACCCCAGGGTCCCCAGATGCCCCATCTGTGAGACACATCTCGTCTTTGCCAGCTTCCACCTTGATGCTCTGTCGCACGCGTTATACTTTCCCCGGAAGCGGGGAGGACTGAAGTGAGCTTTGAGTAAGGACTCCATAAGATGAAAATGGCCTGATTGTCTTGTCACCACAAGGCCTACCTGACCACATGGGCTGGAAGAAGAAACCATACCACGTGGGTCCCCCGTGTCCCCGCATGCAGGGTGGCCGGTCCAGAAGGGGTTTGCTTTGATACAAGGCTTCCTGAAGTAAAAGAGTTAACGCCCCTTCTTTCGGCAGGATGGCTGTGTGTTCTTCCCCCAGGAAGCTTTTCCTCAACCCCAGCTTCCAGCCAGCCTGCTCTTGCTTCCTCTGCAGTTCCGTTGTGTTAGGACAGATTTCCAAAGGCATCCCCCAACAGACCCATGGGATCTCTGGCTACCACCCCATCGGGAGGTTTGAGGATTAGATGAAAAAACAAGGCACACAAGCTGGATGTTGTTTAATTTATGACCAAGGATTTCTTTTTCTTAAATAATATTTCATTTTTTGAGGCAATGTAGCTCCATCGTTTCTCCTTCTCTTTCTTTCCTCCAAACCCTCCCATGCACCCCCTTGACCTCTTTCAAATTCACAACCTCTTTTTCTTTAATTGTTGTTGTACATATATGTGTATAAATACACATATACATCCCTGAATGTATAAATAAGACCGCCTCAGTCCATATAATGTTACTCACATGTATGTTTTCAGGGATGGCCATTTGGTACTGGATAATCAACTGGAGGCCCTTCCCCAGGAAAGGTTATTCACTCCACTGTCAGCTTTCCTTAGTTGCCTGTAATTCTTCGCCTAGGGTCGAGGCCTTGCCAGACTTCTGTCTACATTAGCATACCTAATTAGACACCTGTTGGTGTCTTCTTTCTTCCGCTCATGTTTAGGCATCCAAGCTAGTGAGACTTTATGTAGCTTCTGACATTTCTAGGCGACACAATCTTCCAGCAAACTTCCTATTCCTCTGGCTCTTCCAATCTTCCTGTCTCCTCTTCCCCAGGATCCCTGAGTCTTAGGGGCGGAGGCTGTTGTGGATGTATCATTTGGGACAGGCATCTACAACTCTGCATTTTTATTGGTTGTGTGGTCAATGATCTCTGATGCTTTTCTAAGACCAAATGAAAAATACAAATTTTTGACTTATTTTCCAATTAATGAAGTTTCAGATCATCTGAGCATTTTTTTCTCTTAGAGTTGCTGCCTAAGTATTGGCCCAGATGAGGGTCCATGAGCGGGCCTTTCCTGAAGCAGTTGGGCTGGACCGGGAAGGAGATGGACACTTAGGCCATAGTCCTTTCATCTCCTGGGACAGGCCCATATGGTAGGACAATAGTGCACTCAACAATAATTAAGCACTTTCCATGGACCGGCTGCTACATTAAGTATTATCCTTGTATTATCTTAATCAGATCTCCCACTGCTCTTTCAAGCAAGGCCATATTACTGGTAATTGAACATAAGTGGTTTGGGAAGGTGAGTGAGTACACCCCATCAAAGCTGTCAATACACCCACAACAGCAACAGCACAACAACAACAATCCACATCTATCTGTGCCCTTGGTGTGTATCAGGCTCAGACCTAAGTGCTTAGCATAGATTAATTATTTAATCCTTAAAACAACTTTACGAGGTAGGTGCTAGTATTTATCCTCATCTTACAAATCATAATGGAGGCTCAGAGATGCTGAGTGGCTGACTAGAGTTACCCAGTAGCGTGGTGGAGCTAGGATTTGAAACTAGGCACTTTGGAATCCGGATCTGTGCCCTCAACTGGTATAACATGTATTTCTACTTTTTAAGAATTACAGCTCCAGAAGGAATAATTTTATGCAATGACAGAACCACATATGTCTGAACTAGAAGGTCAGGGCACAGTAGTGAGGCAAGAAAAGCAAAGATGCCCTCTGTTCTACTCTGGATGCTTTTGTTCTGGTCTGTTCTGTGACTGAGAAATGATGGCTATTCCCCTTAGTGGGTAACAACATGAACTCAGGAAAAGCACTGCCCAGAGCAACTGGAAAAGATTGGGGGGGGGCAGCCTACCACAGTGTGCTCTGGGATTTACCAAGCCTATACACTCACATCTCTTTTTCACACTTCCAGGACAGTCAGGGGAGCAAAGCCACAGCCTGCTTCCTAGCAGAGTAAAACATCTGCTTCCATCAGGTCATGTAGAGCTGGTCAGGGCAGTGTTCTGGCCCTACCCAGCTCTTGTGAGCTCAAAGCTTGTACTGGATGGGCATCATCAGATGGCATAGTTGTGTGTTAGTGCCTATCAAAGCTACTGGTAGGCTGACGTGCAAAGCAGAAGGTCATGGGGGGTGTCACAGTGTGGGAAACAGTGGGGACTTGAGTGACAGTTGGAGGTGACATGTTTTCTTCATGTCACCTTACTGGTTTTCATATCCCAAGACAAATACTGTGTAGATACATTACAGTGAGGCCACCCCCTGCCTTGGATGACATAGGATCCTGAGGTGAAATGAAGACATTTTGATCCTTGTTTTAGGCTTTCCTGGGGCCAGTCAGCCAGTATGTACCCCTAGGGCTTGGGGAGACTGAAGGAAGATACTCTCTTGGTTCAGGCCAGCTAAGATGGGCCAGGGATAATCTATGTCCATAGATGAGTGTGTGTGTGTGTGTGTGTGTGTGTGTGTGTGTGTGTGTGTAACATAGACATGAAGTGTGTGAAATTGTGTGTGTGAAGGGCCACACGAGGAGGGAGGAGAGGAGGAGCCAGTGGGGCCAGGGGATGGAGGAGGGAGAAGATAACTAACAGAGGTTGTGCAGATAGGGGGCCTTAGGAGGCACAGAAGAGAGCCACCCTGGAGAGGAATCCCTCTTAGTACCCCAGTCTGATGCCATTGGTCTCCCTAGCCCGGTTAGGTCAGGACCACGGACAGCGGTGCCGACCTTTTCTAGTTCAGTCAACAGCTCAGCCCCTTCTCCATTTTCCTGGCAACCTGAATCACCTACCCTGTCTCTCCACCTCTGTTTCTGAGTACTGGGCACATGAGCAGAGGATGGAGTAGGTGAGCTGGCCCTTTGAAGAAGAAAATTGGACAGTTTAGGGTAAAGGACCATAAACATCTGGCTGCAACTGGGCACCAATTAAGCACATTTAAGGAGGAGCTGCAGCAGCTAAACAAGCCAAGCTCATAAAGGCATCTAATTGCTCCAGACCACGTGCTCACAGTCAGGGTCCCCACGTATATAAAAGGCCAACAGAATCTAAAGAGGTAAACACCCGAGTCCACGTCCACTGTATCCTCCACTTGGACGTCTCCAGTCTCACAGTCTCCCTTCTCCCCAAATAACCATGACTTGTGGATCCTACTGTGGTGGCCGCGCCTTCAGCTGCGCCTCAGCCTGCGGGCCCAGGCCTGGCCGCTGCTGCATCTCCGCAGCTCCCTACCGCGGCATCTCCTGCTACCGCGGACTCTCTGGGGGCTTCGGAAGCCGCAGCATCTGCGGGGCCTTCCGCTCCGGCTCCTGTGGACGCAGCTTCGGATACCGCTCTGGAGGCGTCTGCGGGCCCACACCCCCCTGCATCACCACAGTCTCTGTCAATGAGAGCCTGCTCACACCCCTCAACCTGGAGATCGACCCCAATGCTCAGTGTGTGAAGCATGAGGAGAAGGAACAGATCAAGTGTCTCAACAGCAAGTTTGCCGCCTTCATCGACAAGGTGGGTGTCCTGGACCAGCCCCTTCCTGGAGCCCACCATAGGCATGGCCGAGGCTGAACACTGAGGGGCACAGGAGGCAGAAAGACCTCATATTGAACTCCTGGTTTCAAGGGACAGGTGTGTCCAGATGGGCACACTAAGAACACACAGGGATCTTCTGCCAGTCCTGAGAAGTAGGGCTGGTGGCCAGGCTGCCCTGGACACAAGCTGACTGCAGGGAGGTCCAGGGGACTGCAGCGTGGTGCTCTGGGCAGCCCAAAGAGGAAAGTTGCACTGGAGCTGACAGGAAGGGATGTGGACTGCTGGGGGAGGGGCAGAGGCCAGCCTAGTTAGCTCCCCCAAAGGGCCTGTGACACTGTCTCCCTGGCTCCATGCCAGTGCCTCATCCTGGGATGCGAATGTGGGTGCTCTGCTTGTGGGGGCTCCTGCCTCCCTAGTTTCAGAGGAGAGTACCAAGCCCAGCATGGGGCACCGAAGTGGCCACCTGCATCTGTGAGCGTGGGCACTGCACCGGTCCCTTGTGCTCTCCAAGTGGGAAAGCTGAGGCAGGGCCAAGATAAGGGAATGGAGAGCTGGACTCCTTCTCAGAGCCCTCCACCTCCTCTCCACCATCACCCCAGATCTGCCCCTGAACCCCTTCTCACTCCCATGGCAGGTGCGCTTCCTGGAGCAGCAGAACAAGCTGCTGGAGACCAAGTGGCAGTTCTACCAGAACCGCAAGTGCTGTGAGAGCAACGTGGAGCCGCTGTTCGAGGGCTACATCGAGACCCTGAGGAGGGAGGCTGAGTGTGTGGAGGCTGACAGCGGGAGGCTGGCTGCTGAGCTCAACCATGCCCAGGAAACCATGGAGGGCTACAAGAAGAGGTAAAAAGGCCTGGTGTGGTGCTGGCATACGATGTGTCTTATGTCAAAAGCCAGGGCACAGACAGCAAAAGTCTAGCCAGGCTGAGGGCATTGTGGGATCTTGCCGTCCATGCAGTATCTGTACAGATGCTCCCTGGAGAGAATTGGAGAGTATCATTGAACTACTTCTGCCTCAGCCTTTACTTTTGCCTCAGCTTCCCTCCGGAGACTGAGACCAACTCCTCTGCCTTCTCTGGGAAAGGACAGTCCCAGGACCCCCACCCACACTTTCTGACTTTGATTCCCCCACCCCCGACACTGAGGCCCCTGAGCAGATTCAGCCCACAGAAGCAGGAGGGCCAGGTCCCATGCTCATCTCTCTCCCTGACTTGGGTACTCAGCCCTTGGACTCTGGGTCTAGTCAGCAGCTGGGCTGGGACTGACCTTCAAGTGAGGGGAGGTTGGAGCTAGCTGCAGTCCCCAAGACCCCATCCACTCCCAGATTGGGGATAAACCCTCCTTTCCTTCCTGGGGTGACTTCGGAACAGCACCGAGAGGTTCCTTTACAGCCTGATTCCACTCCCAGACAGCCCAGCTTCCTACAGAAAGCCCTGGCAGGGCCAGGGGCGGCAAGGGCTCTTCTATGGCACTCCCTGGCAAGGAGTGTAGGGTTCCTCACACTGTCTCCTTTCCCTTTTCTGTCCTAGGTACGAGGAGGAAGTTTCTCTGAGAGCCACAGCTGAGAATGAGTTTGTGGCTCTGAAGAAGGCAAGTAGCATTGGTGTGGGAGGCATGGATACCGGAAGGACACACTATGCTTGTGGTGACCCCAAGGCTTAACCTCTGCAGGGGTTGTGACCTTCCCACATCAAGATGGGAAAATTCTCAGAGAGGTGTCCCAGCGAATGTTATACCCAGGGCTGTGACAAAGGGCTGTTGGGAAGGCGGTAGCCAACTGGAATGTTGGTACTAGCGGAGGGCTAGTGGTTCCACCGCCACGGAGCCATGGATCAGTTTGGAATGTCTGTTCGTTCCTGCCCTGATGCCCCTATTGACCTTAGTGTGCCTTTCCCTGCTTCTAGGGTGTAAGTTGGGGTGCCAGCAGCCACAGGGCTTCATTCGGTCCATTGAAAAATATCGTGGTCTACATCCCATTCTACAGTCTGACCAGAGTGTTAGGACCTCAGCCAGTGTGTACAGGATGATAGGGTCACTCGGAGTGGCCAGATGCCCTCTTGATGCCTTGCTAGTTCAGGTCAGGGTCAGTTGGCTGATCTGGGAGCCAATGGGAAGCTCTTTAGAATAGAATGGGATCAAAGAGCGAGAAGAGGGAAGGTGTCTTGGGTGGCTGAGAGGCAGGGACTCTCCAGTCCTGAGAAGCTGCCAAGTGCATGCTGGGAATTGGGGGCTGAGATGACTTGCACACAGGAATCTTTTCCCACTGTGTTGCATGGGATGTATGAAGAGAGAGAGGACTTTAGGAAATGATCAACCAAGTGATTCTGGCTCACACACCCCTCTTTCCCAGGATGTGGACTGTGCCTATCTGCGCAAATCAGACCTGGAGGCCAACGTGGAGGCACTGACCCAGGAGATTGACTTCCTGAGGAGACTGTATGAGGAGGTGAGGGCAGCAGCCAGGATAAAAGCCTGGCAAGTAAACTGAAGACAGTCATTCCATGGCTGTGAAGTCCTGTGTGGACCAGGGGAGGTCTGAGAGGCTTGCACAGGTATGTGGGGATAGACTGAATTTTCAACAAGCTTTTGACTGCTGTTCCCTCCTCCTGCAGGAGATCCGAATCCTCCATGCCCACATCTCAGACACCTCTGTCATCGTCAAGATGGACAACAGCCGGGACCTGAACATGGACTGCATCGTGGCTGAGATCAAGGCTCAGTATGATGACATTGCCACCCGCAGCCGGGCAGAGGCCGAGTCCTGGTACCGCACCAAGGTGAGTGGTGACACACCTGTCCTTAGACACTACAGTGGGAAGGACTCCAGGATCTATCAGAAAATGTTTCATGCACCCCAAGAATCGCAAGAAGATTGCAGACATCTCTCAGTAGAGGAGGCAGCCCTGGCTGAGCACTGTGCTGCTGTGCATCTTGCACATCTTGCACACTCAGTGGTGGTGTGCACACTGGGTCGATGTTGCATCCTGTGCCTCATGGGCATCTCTGCTTCCCCCATCCCCAGTGTGAGGAGATGAAGGCCACAGTGATCCGTCACGGGGAGACCCTGCGTCGCACGAGGGAGGAGATCAATGAGCTGAACCGCATCAACCAGAGGCTGACAGCCGAGATTGAGAACGCCAAGTGCCAGGTATGTAGGGGTCAGCTGTGCTGAGACCAGGGAGGCTGGGTGCCTCCTCAGTGCCATAGGGCCAGCATGTGCCCTGCTTGATCTTACCATTTGGTATACTTCCTGTGTATGTGAACAGAATCCTGACCACGGTCACTCTGATTGAACCACATCTATAAAGAAAAATTTCTTATTTGAGGGTGAAGGATGTTTCCCAGCTGGTAGCAGACTAGATACATGCAGGTAATATATAGAGCAATCCAGGGACCATAAGTGATCTCATTCTCTTCTGTGTCCTCAGAACACCAAGCTGGAGGCTGCAGTGACCCAGTCTGAGCAGCAGGGAGAGGCCGCCCTCACCGATGCCCGCTGCAAGCTGGCTGAGCTGGAGGCTGCCCTGCAGAAGGCCAAGCAGGACATGGCCTGCCTGCTCAAGGAGTACCAGGAGGTGATGAACTCCAAGCTGGGGCTGGACATCGAGATCGCCACCTACAGGCGCCTGCTGGAGGGCGAGGAGCACAGGTGGGTCCAGTAGCTCTTGACTGTCCCAACCCTTCTTGGGTCCTCAGCATTGAGCCTCAAACCTAGGGTTCTCATCAATCTTCGCTTCATCATCTCATCATCCTGCACAAGCATAGGAAATCTGTGTAAGTCCTTTAACCTTGATCTAGCTCCATCTCACTTCCTCAGCTGACCTGTCTCTGAGGTTGTCTACAGGAAGTACTGAGTTTTGCTCCCTTGAGGCCTAGCTGAGTCCATTCCTAGGGTGATGTTTCTTCTTTCCCCATCATGATCTGCATGTATTCTCAGGACCCCATCTTCTTTCCTAACCTGGCCCTGGCCAGCTCCACTCCACCCTTGGGAATTCAGGTTTATCTTATAATAGCAGCTTGTGGTAGCTAGCAGATTCCACCACCTCCTGCTTAGATATTTGGCAATGAGTGCCCTAAAGTGATCTCCCATTGCAGTTCGGAGTGCGGTATGGACAACAGAGGAACTTGGTTAGTTTTCACTAGTCAGAGTTGGATACTGGTGGAAGAACTTCTGGTCATTCTGCCTTCTTGTGGTGGAGGACCCCTTACAACCCAAGACCTTAAAGACCCCACTCTAAACCAAGATCTCATCTTGCACTCTTGCTTTCTGTCTCCTGGTCAGTCATTGGTCGTATCCAGAGCTGCTTTTTGTGTGTAGCCAGCCCCCAGGGCAGCACACAGATGGAGAATCATGTGTACCGGGGACATGGGGACACAGACTTGGTCCCTGGAAGTCCGTGTGGTTACACAAAGAGACCCCCCAACACAGTGACGTAGCTTGGGAAGCCCAGAGGCACAGGGGGATAGGACCTGGGGATCTGGACGTCGGAGAAAGATATAGGCAGAGCATCGGGAAGGGAACCATAGCTCCTCCAACACATGGGGTGGAGAGAAGCAGTTACTCAGGAGACCAGAGAGGGCCGGTTGCGGGATCTGAGGCCGAGTTTGCCAGCTCTTGGCCATTGCCTGTTCAAGGCAATTCTGTTTGGTGCCCTTCTGGGAGATAATGCCAAGTGGACAGGAGATACAGGCCAGGTGGGGCTGGAGTTTTAGCTCTTCACTGCCATTAGTCTGTGAGTTCCCAAGGAGACAGCTGCTGTAAGTGGTTCCAAGCGGGCTCTGGGTTTCCAGTACCTATTTCTTCACAGGGAGTCATGTGTGATGACAGGCGTTGTTTCCAGAAACGGGGGCAAAAAGTCCTGGCTTCCTTTAGGCCCACATTGCCATGATGGCAATCAGACAGGATTTAGAAGGTCACGTCTGGTCCCCTGGAATGCACTCGCAACTCAGAACCAACAGGACAACAGCAGCCAGTGCTTTCCCACGCGTGTCTAGGTCTATTTGTCCCCACGGGAGCGATGGATTATTCTGGGTCAGGGGGAGACCTAGACCCCACTGGGGAGGCTAAAACTCAGGGTGCACAGAGAACAGCGTGGTGAGATGGAGGACATGCCTTGCCTTCCGAACTCACGTAGTACCCCCAGGCTTACCCCCGGTTCCTGGTTTCTCGGTCTCTCCCACACACCGTTTCCCTAGGGCAAGAGCCTAGGAGGGCCCACGATGTCCCCTGCCCCATGCTTTCCGTGTACTAACAACGTCTGCCTCCTTTTCCTCTCCCACAGGCTGTGTGAGGGCGTTGGCTCCGTGAATGTGTGTAAGTAATCCCAGCCTTCCCCTTCCCTGCGGGGTGGAGCGAGCCTTTGGGGGCGGGAACACACGCGCTTGCTGCAGAGCCGCCTGGCCGTGGCCGTGCCTGACGCGGTCTCCCGTGTTCTCCCCGCTTCCAGGCGTGAGCAGCTCCCGCGGTGGCGTCGTCTGTGGCGATCTCTGTGTCTCCGGTACTGGCCCTGCTGTCAACACCAGAGTGTGCAGCGCCCCCAGCGGTAACGTGGTGGTGGGCACCCCCAATGCCTGCGCCCCCTGCGCCGGGGCGGGCGCCTGCAGCGGAGGCTGTAAGAAGTGCTAGGAAGAAGCCGCACGGCTGCCACCGCCCACTCTGCCCGAAGTGACCGCACAGCGCGACAGTGGCCTCGGCGCCTCCATCTCATCCTGTAGCCTTCTCTAGCTTCTTGCTTTTATTTCCCCTTCTGTTTTTTGCCGGATTCATTGGTCTTAAGATCTTGGAGGATCCGCTGCCCCAGGATCCTCTTTGTCCGCCGGGTCCCTAGCATGATTTTGCCTGGGCACGGAGACAGGGACCAACACGGTTGCTGGCTTTCCTGTCACTCAGCGAGAGACCACGTGACCCAGAGCATCTCCTTCCGGGTCTGCCTGGCAGCCGCTCCCCCCAAACCAGGGACTCGGCGGCGGCGGCCTGCACTTTGGCCTTTGTCTCACTCTGCGTTCCCAATAAACTAATTGCAGCGAATCAAACCTGCGCCTCAGACTCTCCAAAGTTCTGCCTATGACAGGTGCCACCGCCAGAGGTCTCAGGACCCCCACCAGCCACCTGGTGTTTTCAGGAGGCGAAGGCAGCAGCAGGCAGCTCCCATCGCTTGGAGAAATCAGGCTTTGGGGACAACAAAGGCAGAGTCAAGGCAGAGAGTCTTGTGGGGTGGTCAGTATTCTAGCTGAGGTGTTCTGTCTCAGCACTGTGCATCATGGGCTGGGTGACTGTCCCTGAGGGCTCCCCGGACACTTTATTTTGTAGCATCCTTGGCCTCTGTCACTAGATGGAGGCAGTATTTCTCTCCCCTTACTGTGATCAGCAAAGATATCTCTAGACAAGGTGAAATGTCACCCGGGGCTTCTCAGCCACAGTCATTTTGCTTCCCTTCCTTGAAGGGCGTTTCTGGGGTGCCGTGCTTGAGGAAGGACGGTAGTGGGAGGCAGAGGAGAGGAGGAGAGGAACTCCTGGTAGGTCAGGGTCAGAAGACCTGGTATCAGCTGTCACCTGTTGTGTGGGTGAATGAACAAGTTGCTTCCATCCTGAGTGTCCAGTTCCTTTGCTGGAGGGTGAGGAGGGGTCACGCCATTCCTAGGGTGGCTCTTGGCTCTCTGAGGAGAAGGGGAAAGGCTTTGTTTCTAGAAGCTCTATCGGATCAGCAGTCCAGTTCCATCTCAAAGGACAGGTCTCTCATCCTCACCAGACTTTGGCTCTTCACCTGTAAAATGAGACGATGGTGCCTACATTTTTGTGGGAAGAGGGTCACACAGTGATGGTACACAGCAAATCTCTCCAGAGAGGCGTCTTTTTTAAAATTTAAAATAAATGTATTTTCCCCAGTGCCGAGGACCAAACCCATGTCTTTGTACATCTTGAACAAGTGCTCTCCCGCTGAGTTATGATCCCAGCCAGGAAGACTTCAAACACAACTTCCACACTCCCCCTGCTCCCTCCTGACCCTGTGGGCTGGCAGGGGAGCTCTTCCTCTTTACCTGGCATCTTTCTGGGTACTGTGCGAGAGAGGTTCTCAGGGCCTCTCTGGTAAGGCTGGTCCTGATCCTGGCTGCCAGCTGAGAGCTTAGGTAAGGGTTGTCAGCTAGAATATATCAGCTAGGCTCAAATGGGAAGGTAATAACGGGAGCAGAGGAAATTATCACAAATAATTATTAACTACAGTGGAGGACTAGGGGAATGAGAGGTAGCCAGCAAACAGTAAAACAATAAATACAGGAGCTGTAGTGACAGACATGGCTGGGCCTGCCTGGTGGTGTGGCTAACCTTGATTTTCAGTCCATTGGATGGAGAATGACCTAGGGTATTTGCAAAGCACACCTCTGGTTGTGTCTGTGAAGGGGTTTCCAGAGGAAACTAATTAAAGGGGAGCAGACACCCTCTAAATTGGGGGGGCATTGTCCCACAATCTAGAGGACTGGGTATGACAAGGGAAAAAAGGAGGAAGTCTGTGAGTTCTCTGTTCACTGGCCACAGTGAAAAGAGCAGTTCTGCTCCCCCAACATGTTCTCAGTGACAGATGGAAAAGCCCACAACATTTAGCCAAAGTAATGCTTTCCTCTTTCACATAGTTTCTCTGAGACATTTATGCTATGGTGTCAAAAGGTCTAATACACTTTGCATGTGTGATGCCCTTGTTTCCATTCAGAGAGAGAGAGAGAGAGAGAGAGAGAGAGAGAGAGAGAGAGAGAACACAGAAACGCACACAGACATGCGGAGCATCCTCTCTGCTCCCCAGTATTAACATCCATTATCTCACTGTAATTAGTTCTTCCCCACATATCTTCCCGAGGACACTCAAGCTCAGCCTGAGGCCTAGCCCCAAAGCCACAGGTCCTTGACTTTGTTACAACAGCACCTCATTGCCAGGTACCACATTCTCTGTACTTAGCCCTTATATCATAACTAAACTTCCCAAAGGCAGTTGTTTAAAACACTATTTTTTTTTGTGGGGTCAGGTAGCTGTTTTCCTTTATGATGCTGGCTTCGGGTGGCTGGAGAGTCCTAAATGCCTTTGCTGAAACGGTTGACATTTGGTGCTGGCAGCTCAGCTGGCAGGATGGTCAGGGCCCTTTCTTCTCCTTCATGGCTTCCTGTTCTCACAAGGCCAGGGCGCAGAAGCCTGGAGGGGCCCTCCCTGGTAAAGGGACCATAGGGACCAGCCCCAAGTCAAGAGGCTGGGTCTTGAACCCTTTCTGTGGTTTGAATGGCTGTGCTCAGAGAAGGGTAGAATTGTTGGGAGCCATATTTGAAGACAGTCTCCTCAGGAGGATGAACTGGAAAAGACATAAATTGTTGGACATTGTGTAGCATTAAACGATGCTGGGACAAGGGCTTCATCCTTTTTGTTACTGTTGCTATGATGGCATTGGAAACATTCCAGCAGGCCTGAAGATATACTACAGAGACTTGTGCCCCTCCTTTTCAGGCTATTGAAACAGTGTTTCTAGAGCAATAGGGATTTCCCAGGAATCTCATGTTCAGATAAGTAAAGTACTCAAGCTGGGCGCCAACCCTGAGGAATTCTGACAACTTGTTGGACAGATTGTGGGAGAGACTGCAGCAGGGTCAGACGGTAGGACAGTACCCCCACCAACACTGCTTAGTTACGCATGCCTCTAGCTGTCGATTTAAACCTAAACCTCATGCCAGGATCCCAAAGATGGACCAGGGGTGGTCACTGGACTGTTTGTTCCTCTTCCAAATGTAGCATTCTTGGGTAGATCTTCTTCTGTTTTCCACTGTGTATAAGACAAATTATTAAACGGTTTTTATTAATAAAAAACCCAGAGCCAGATATTTAGGTGGCCAAACTTGGCATACCAGAGCTTCCAGGGCAGGCTCCAACCTTAACAGCTCTGCTAATAGCGTGTGATACAGCATCCCTCGCCATCCAACTGAGAAGGTGGAGTGGGGTGGTAGAAAAAGGCCAGGATGCCCAGGCTCTTGTCACAGGGTTGGCAACCAGTACATGTAGTTGAGGGCCCTCACTTCCAGACCCCATATAGTTCACCTACGTCAGCGGTTCTCAACTTTCCTAATGCTGTGACCCTTTAATACAGTTCCTCATGCTGTGGTGACCCCCAACCATAAAATTATTTTCATTGCTATTTCATAGCTATAATTTTGTTACTGTTATGAATCATAATGTAAAAATCTGTGTTTTCCAATGGTCTCAGGCAGCTCCTGGGAAAGGGTTACTCACCTGCCCCAAGGGGGTCACAACCCACAGGTTGAGAACTTCTGACCTGTGTGATGATTGGGGTGATATTGCCAGCCCACAGGATGCTCAGGCACTCCGGCTAATGCACAGAGCAGAGCAGGAACCAAGGGACAGTTATTTTGATACTGTCCACTACCTGAGCCATCTCATCTCAAGCATGTCAGCACAGAGGCTCTGCCAGCGCATTCCCATTCTTCATTAGAGATGCTGGAAAGCCTGGTCGCCATTGACCCAGCAAGACGATGGGCAAAGATGACAGGAACGAGAAATTTCTCTGTATGAGGAAGCTTTTCGTGGGTGGAGGCTGGGGTGGGGCTGGGGGCAGAGAGCGGAGTGGAAAGCAGATTGGTTCACTTTAAGCTTCCAGGGCATCCTGCAAACCAGTCCCCAGCCTCCCTGAGCCCATGGATTGTCTGTTCCCTCTTCAGCTGATACTCCGTGCCTGCCACATACCTGTCTGCCTGGATAGCTCCTCACAGACAATAACTTTTTCCTTTAAAACAAGCTTCAGGGACTGGGACAAAACCCCCCTCTCTCTCCAGTGTTCCTCCCTCCCTCCCTCCCTCCCTCCATCCATCCATCCCTTTCTTTTTTTTTAATTTTAATTTTTTTATTAGGAGATTTTTCTATTCATTTTACATATCAGCCACAGATTCCCCTGTCCTCCCTCCTCCCACCCACCAGTCTTCCCCCCCACACCCCTCCATTCCCACCTCCAAGGCAAGATCTTCCTGGGGAGTCAACAGAGCCTGGTACATTCAGTTGAGGCAGGCCCAATCCCCTCCTCCCTTCACCGAAGCTGAGCAAAGTGTCTCAGCATAGGCACTAGGTTCCAAAAAGCTGGCTCATGCACAAAGGACAGGTCCCGGTTCCACTGCCTGGGGACCTCCCAAAGAGTTCAAACTAATCAACCGTTTCACTTATCCAGAGGTCTAGTTCCATGGGGGCTCCTCAGCTATTGGTTCACAGTTCATTTGTTTCCACTAGTTTCCTCCCTTCCTTTCTTTACAGAGTCTCTCACACTGTGGCCCAGGCTAGTCTCAAACTCATAACAACCCTCCTGCCTCAGCTTCCTGAGTGCTGGGATTACAAGTGTGTGCCACCCAAGCTGGCACAAGACAGCCATCTTTAACTCTTCTTCTCTTTACCTGAGTGAACACAGGGACTGTACTTCTTGGGTGATTCTGACGGAGACCCCTGCTTCTCCTTAAGGTCTCAATTCCAGCATTGCTTCTGACTCTGGCTAGTGATCCTCCCGCCCACTTCCTTTTTCTCCCAGCCCTAACACCCAGGGCTCTGCAGAGTCCTTTGTTCCCTCCAAACTCAAAAGCTCCTCCGGGAAGGAGGAGGGAGGCTCATAAGACCAAGGAAGACAGTGAAGACTCAGGCTCAGGAGGCTCCCCAGATTCACAGGCCCTGCCCAAGGCCATAAAGGTGGAACTGACAGGGAGCTTGCCCGAGCTCCAGGATGCCACTCTGTGTGTGTGTGTGTGTGAGCACCGCCCACGCTGGGTGGGTGGGCTCCTTCATGATGCAGCTGCCTTTCAGTCACCCACCCTTCTGTGTGTGTGGATCTCCACACACTCATTGGTTCTTCAAATAGACTTACTTAGAAACATTGCTTTTTTTGTTTTGCTTTTCATCAGTGCCCTATCTAGGTGAATATGCAGACATTTGTCTCCCCAGGAAAAGCCACATAGTAGGTGACTATTGTGACAGGGAGGCAAGCCTGGAGACCCATCATTGGGTCTA